GAGTCTTAATAAGAAAAATTAGTTGTGGACCACGTACCTTTTCAATTTCAAGCTAAAATTTTAGGAAGAAAACCCCACCTGCTAACAACATTTCCCTTTCTCCACAGAAAGACTGTCAATAACAACAGCACATAATGCCATTTTTTCCCCTGACTTTAGAATGTCAAAAAAACCCAACAAATAAACATTCTTATAAGATTTTAAACATATACTGAAAATTCATTCTTTCTGGAAACTGCACAATTGCATATTTTACTCATGAGTGAACTTTTTCAAAGTCTGTTTGGATTTAATTTTAAAAAAGTTTTAAATGCATTTCCTTCAACTATTTTGGCCATAATTTCAGTAAAGATTAACAAGTAAATGTTAGAGATTAATGTATCATCAATATAACTTAAAAAGTCCATGATGTACATGCACAAACTGACATTGCCAGACAGGTAGCTGACTAAGGGACTAAACGATGGTTTGGGGTTTGATGCATACACTAAAATAAAAACCAGCATTCTTCCAAAATACCTGCTGTTTTTCCCGTTCTCAAATATGAAGTAAAATGGACACGATGTCTACTTTTTCCACTGAAGTATTTTGCAATTTGAAAGGGCATTCAAAATATATCATGAATTTCAGATCACAAAACTCAGAAATCCTACAACACACACGAAACCTCCCCAACAAAGCCTTGCTATATAAATACGTCGTCAGTAAAATTCTTCAAATTCTATTTTAAAAGATTCCCTACTTAATGTTACAGTTAGTTTATTAATATATTTTACATCTAGTAAACTACAATAGGAAAAATCCTCATCCATCATTTGCTTTCTTACTTATTTCAATTTGTACTTAAATAAACAATTACGACAAATGCTACACTACATACTAAAATATACAAATTATAAATATGTGTGTCTTTGAAATTTTAGTTTGTTATACTGGTTTAGATTTTATATTTTTCTAATTTTTACTTAGCACTTTAATTAGTATTTAGCTGGACAAAGTTTTGTTTTCCCTCTATTTTTAAATAACTACCAAAACATAGATAATTGATGCATATTTTATATATCATTCTCTTGCTGTTAAGTATTTGATTCATAAGAAGGCCCAATAAACAAGGAAGAAATGAAACTGATCTAATATATTTATCTATGCTTCTAACTTTCCTCTCAGGGTTATGAAACAATCTTTTCTACTAGATCACTCATATTTTCTTTTACTTTAACTGTAACAATAAAGATTAAAGTTATTGTATTAAAGAACTTTATGTAAGAATTACAATAGAAAAATTTTCTAGTCTTTTTCTGTTTACTATAGTCTTTCTGTGAAAAACAAATTAAGCTCAACATATCTTGTCTAAGTAATTAAAATAAGCTTTACACTATATACCTAATATTAATAAAAATATCTTTATAGGAAGAGGACAATTTTATTGTGGAAGTTCTTTAACTTCATATCAAGAAATTTACCATTTCCTACCAATGTTCTTAAATTCTATTTTACTACATTAATTCTTAATGTGTATTCTTTTGAAACATAAACTCTCTACTAAATATTTTTCAAAGTACTTATATTTAATTGTATTAATATATTTTAAATTACCAGATATCTTGCGCTTTTGAAAATATATACATCAGTTGAATATAAACATGAAAACCTATTTCTTCTCTCAAATGTGTGCTGGTGATGCATTTAAAACATGCAGCCTTTCATAGTTATAAGAAATTCTATGTGTAATTTCTATAACCACGTCCTTGTTGTTTTCATTTAAAATAATACTTAACAGAATCTTAAGCTGTCTGTTTAGATATTGTAACTGCAGTTCTAGGCTATCTGGTTTTAAACTTCTGCTTTTTGTGCATGGAAGTTATAACATCCATGCAAATAAACCGTGCTAATAAAAGTATTTATTAGTAAAAGTAGACTGGGTTGCTGATTTTACAATATGCTCAAAAATTAGACTGTCTATTCTTATCTTACATTACTGCTATAACATAATCACCAAAATCTGAAAAGAGGTCACACATGAAGTACAGGTTTTTGACAGATTCAACAAATTGTTTATATTTATATTCTGACCCTTCAAAACAATTATTTCCTAGCATGTATTTAAACACCTTCCCTGTTAGTGCTCAAACCTTAAGTAATTTGAATTTCTTGACCTGATTTTCAAGCAAGGACCTGTCTTTCAAATTCACCCAAATAGTATTTTTTTTTTTATTGAATTGGTTGACATTTATGTTTAGGATAATTTATCTGAAAAAAAATCCTTTGTTTTTTACTTTGCATCATAAATATAACTTTCACTTTAATTTTGTCATGTTTTAAATACTTTTCAAAGATTCCTCATGAGAATCCTGTACTGGCAGTCTATGACAAAGAACAAGCAAAAAATTTTTTTCCTTTCTCTTTAACCAACAAACTGATCCTTTTAAATAAAAATTTCTGTTTAAGTACTTTCATTCAACTTAATATTCCTCCTTTCTGTCATTTCCGTGCTCTCTATCAATTAGGACAAGCAACGCAGAAATACTTGTTACTTGTTACTCTCTGATTAAAATGCTCCCTGTCAACTAATAACTAAAGAGTAAATCTCCCTACAAAATCGTAAAAAAAGAAAGAAAGAAAAAAAGAAAGGAAAAGTAAAGAAAGAAAGAAAAAAAGGAAACTCTCACAGTTTTTTGGGATATTTTGTGATATTTTTCTATAGAAATTAAAAAAAACCTATGTAAATGATTATGGTCACCCCTACCCTGTGAAAAATCTTAATGGGCTGAAGGATATTTGAATTTTTGAGTTTAATGCTAGACAGCAAAGGCTTCAAATAATATAGTTAATGCTGGAAACTTTTTTTTTAATTCTGTTTTAGATTTTTGTCACAAAACTATCATAACTTCACAGTTCCTCATACCCACAGTTGTTCTGTATTTTATTTTGCCATTAATATGTCTGAGGAGTGAAGGGTCTTATTCATAACTCCACAGTTTTAAAATCTTCGTACTACATTTCATTGCTAACTAATCCCATCTGTCTCCCCAAGTTTTCTAATACATAATAATGTCTATTGAAAACACAATATTAAACTTAAACTTCAAATAAAATGAAATAAAAAACCCAAAGCCTAAAATATCTAACTTGTAAAATGTCTTTCTAGCTCCATATCAACTTCTTCAAAATGAAATCTTCAGAACACCGCACCCTCTATGGCGGATATATTAAATACCCCTTGATTTTTGACTTAGCCTGGATATTTAAAAAGAAGTATGCTGTTCTTTCCCACCTCTTTCACCCCATGTTTTTCTCCCTGAATCAGATTTGCAGTCACTAACTCACCTGCCTTCTACACAAGAACTTTCTGTTCAGAAAACTTTCAAATTCCTTCCTTTCCTCCTCCATTTCTGGGATGTGCCTGCTATATCAAATTCTAGAGGAGGGAAATGGTCATTATTCTGGGCTGGTTCCCCCCCCCCTCCAAATGATGCTTCCAAAACTTGTTTTCTCAGTCTTTCCTCCGTACAACTGCACCACACACTTGTCAGCCCCTTTCTCTGTCTTTTTAAAAACAGAACAACAAATTTTGCCTAACGATTCTCTCCCCCAAAACTTGATGGCATATTCTCATTTTGTTCGGGGGTGGGGGATTAGATATAAAATACAGCCTGGCTGAAATTCTTTTCCCCTACTCTGAACATAACCAATTTCCAGTCTCTGGCAATTTCTTGTTCACCTTGTCTGCCACGGCATTCCATTTGAGGGTTCTCAGATGAATATATGAAGTTGGAGAGCACAGGTGGGTAGGACCACAAGAAAGAATGCCCACCCACCACAGCCTTCACCCTGCTCAGTACAGATGGTATCTTGCTCAACACCAACCTGGATGTTTCAAGAGCAATCTAGAATATGTAAATTCTGCATAGATAGACATAAAAAAATGCTATTCCTATATGTCACTCTTTGCAATCTTGGATTATCTCAGCTAACTTTCCCCAAAGAATGTGATCTTTATGAAATAATTTTGCATATGCACAGCAGAAGTCTTCTTCAAGGGTAGACGAGTTGGCCACTCAGAGGCCCAGCCTAGGCCTCTGGCTGAAGCAGTGTAGCCCACCAAGTTTCTCCACCCAAAACATGTACTTTAGTACTGCTATTCCTATTGCCTGGTCACAGGCTCACGGGAGGCTGAAGGTAAACATTTAACCACACTGCATCTCGATATATTCATTTCTGACTTGATTCCATCACCCAGCAGAACAAGCAGACCCTAGAATAAGAGCAGACAGGGAAGGCACCATCCAAAGAATAAGCTAAGATGGCTTTATTTTGCAGCTCTGTCCATTTCCCCAGCCATTCTCCCAGCAATGGAGGTAGGCTCTGCCCTTATACAACAGTAAGGGGTACAATATGGAGAGCTCCCAGGAGTCCCAAACTTTTACAAAGTACCAACCATAAACAAGTAAGACATTGGTGCAAAAAATAATATTATTTTTAATAAGAAAATGCCAAGTTAAAAGCCTTCTTTAAATTTTTTTACAGATAGAGTAGGTAAATGGTTTTTTTTTCCAATTATAAGACATAAGTGGCTGCAGAGCCACAAAAACCTCATCTCTGCTTCATCCTCAGCACTACCAGCTTCTTTTTCTTCGGGAAAACAGACCAACTAGGCAAGCACACTAGCACATTGGTCCTCATTCAGGAACCCAACGCCATTGTAACTGGGGAACAGACACAGTAGGGAGTCTTTCAACCTTCAGAAAGACGCCCTCCAACACAGCCCGGGCCAGCATAATTGTAAAAGAAACTAGGCAAAGCATTCCCAACCTTCTGAAAAGATTCCTGCCTCGTCCTCTGCTCGGGACTCCAAGCCACATTAATCTGACTCATTAGTTCCTATCGAGACAGTCGGCAATTTAAATCCAAGTCCTAAGCATACACTTCGTTAAGAGTGATTGTTTAGAAAGCCAAGCTGACTGGTCCTAAACAGCAACAGATTAGTGTGAACTACTTACCAGGTCCAGCACCAGCTGCAAACAATTCTTTCATTTGCTTGATCCAGCAGAACTGCCAAATTCCCAAACTTTCTTTCCGTGTACGAAACTAAGTTCCTAGAAATAATCAGAGTTTCCCTTATTAAGTTTTAAACGTAAACTACAAATCCAACCTAAGATTTTGAAGCATAAAATTACACAATTCCCCCATCCCCCTCCACAAAATCTCTCTTTTAATTCCATCTCTCTTTTAATTAATTTGGCAAAATCGCCTGCCTTCTCTACTATGCTTTCCTACTTGGACATCACTCTGAAAAGAAAGGATCCCCATCCCCTGCCACCCTGCCACACACACACACACACACACACACACACACACACACACACACACACACTTCCCTTCTTCCTCACTTAAAATCTCCTGGGAGCATACCACCAGCTTCTCTGGTTTCACTACACTGCAGTCCTGGCCGATTTTTCACAAAGCTTCTATCCTCTTGTAAAATGTAAAATGAGGGGGTTGCACCAGACAGGCTCCAGAGTCCCATTTAGCTCTAACAGTCTCTAAGTGGCCGTGCTGATCCAGAGAAACTGGAGTATTTCCACAGAAGCACCCACATTTGGACTTTGTTCTATATGTGTCCCTGCTGTCTCTCTTCACTCTGCCTTCCCTCCCCCTCCCAAACAGTGATGATTTAGCAAAAGGCTTCACTGCAAATTTACTTTCTGACTAATTCCATAGAGCCCAGACCTATGGAAGGTCCACCAGAGATCCTATAAGTGCACAGAGAGAGCAACTTGGGTCAATTTTGCTAATTATTTTTTATCAACCAAAATGAACCTTCTAGATGTAACCTCATCCCCCATCCATAATGCTCTTTATATAATAATTCTCCCCTTACATGTTATTTAACTTTCACAATGTTTAAAAAAAAACATGCAGTTGATGAACATTGTACTTCTGAGAAAATTTTCCTGGATCATAATTTAATATCCATTTTTCTCTGCACTGAGTCCTGCCTTGCTCTCCCCTTCAATTTATTCATTTCTTTCTCCAAGAAACCATCCTGCATCATTGTAAAGATAACTTCATTCTTTCCTTGGAAACCAAAGTGTTTGATGACATGGCAGCACTTGTTACTTAACAGGGGTCATTCAATTTGACCACGAAGACACTGACGTCAGTAATTAGTGGCAAACCTATGACTGGAACCTAGAAGCAACGTAGCTCTTCTGTGAAAAACACCATTTATTAATGCTTCACTAATTCGGGAGATGTGCTTGAATTTAAAAAATTAAACAGCCCCTGTCTTGTGTTTCTTAGTCCAGGACTTTTATCCACGGAACCTACACTTCTTCTCTTGCTAAAAGGCAACTTACAAAGAATCAAGGATGCAACTCCCTTATTCTTTTTTCTAGCATCCAGCGGGGCTTGGTTACCAGCAGATCAACCATTTAGAAAGAGCAAGATCACCAGTAACCTCAGATCAGTTGGAAGCATCTCCATGTTGAGGATACATTTAAAGTCTTTTCAAATGGTGGTTTTGTATTTGTGAAACCGTTTCTTACCAGAGACAAGCTACTTCAAAGTAAGCTCAATTTATATTTATTAGACGAAAAGTAAACAGGTGCCCAGACAAACACATCTTCTCCCTGTCTATACAGAATTGAGTCTTGGAAGGATCCCCACCTGCGTCAGGTTGGTGCAGGAAACCCCACCCTTATTCCTCACCCCAGTCTTGAGGATGCTAAGCTTGCACCCTACCACTGAGCTACATAACCAGTCCTAACATTTTTAATTTTGTAAATTTGGGCAGCATCTTGTTACAGTAAGGAATCAACACTACTGAATCTGGACTCAGCACCCGAATATTACCCCAAAATAACCCTTTGCTTTTGGAAATGCTTTTATTTATGTGTCTTCATGGCTCTCTCTCTCTCTCTCTCTCTCTCTCTCTCTCTCTCTCTCTCTCTCTCTCTCTCTCTCTCTCTCTCTCACACACACACACACACACACACACACACACACACACACACACACACGCAATTTGTGATACAGTTATATGACTTAGAACATAGCTGCTGTAGTAGTAACTATTCAAAACACAGAAGAACTTAAAAAAACACATTATTTCTGCTAATTCAAAATACGTTATGAGCCACATCATCACACACTCTCTTTTCACAGCTCATGTGACCACCTTTAGACTGTCACTTAACTTGGTCCCTGATACTGGCTACTTTCCTTACCTCCCTCCCTCCCTCCTTTTTTTCCTTCTTTCTTTTGAGGCAGGGTCTTACTCTATAGCCCAGGCTGGCTTCAAAGTCATGGTGATTCCCCTGCCTCAGCCTCCAGAGTGCTACAGTTACAGGAGTGCCACCGTACCTGGGTTGGCTGCTCTATTTTCCCTCTGAAGTTCTCACCTGTGAATCCAAGATCCTCAAATAGTTTGGGATCAGAACCCCAAAGTCTCCCAGTATTTAACTGAGCAAAAGTAAATGATTCTTACTTTTCTGGTTTTGGTTTGTTTCTTTTTCTTTTGGGGTCTGTTATGCTTTTCTCACAAATTTACTTCTATAATTTACAAAAGCAATAAAAATAAAATGAATAATCTTTTTACCCAGGATTTGCATTACATACCTACTTATAAGTTACTAGTCTCCTAAGAACTAAAGCCCTGCTCAAGAGTCCAGAGAAACATTAAATCTAAGCACTGCCTTGTATGTGCACACAACATGCCATCCTAACAAAATTTTATTGGTACATGTAGCATTTTTAGTATTAAACTAGTAGATCCCAAGGTTTCTAATATTTTTCACTATTTACTACAGACGTTTTCGAATGAAGGAGGGCTGGTATAATAAGCACCCAGGCATACATCACCTCTGGTTAGTAATTACCATTTTCTTGTATTTGCTCCATTGTCTTTTTCCCCACTAAAATACTCTAAAGGAAATTACAGATATCACATTTTCTACATAACCACAATTTCATCATTATACCTACTCAATTAACAACCGTTCTCTAAGCCCAGAGCCGCATTCCAATCTTTCCACTCAGAATTTGAGTTCCTCAATAACGTTCATAAGCCCCTGTTCTGTTGTTAAGGAAGTACCCCCAAACTAGCTCTAAGGTAACATTCTAGCTTGTTCTACCAGGCTTTCAGCACCCTGTCAGATCTGCTCTGAGCAGACGCCCTGCTACCCCTGCAAACCATCCAGTCATGCTCTTATATCTGCAGCCCTTGACTCAAACATTGATGAGAAATAGACAAGAGAAACTGTGCCATCTCGAACAGACTGTTTCCTTCAATCATCGGTGTTCACCAAAGAGCAAAGAGAAAGAAAAAGGAGGACCACATACCCCAAATAGAATCACATGGGTTTTAATGGGATTGTTCCCCTAATATTTCAGTAGTGGTCTATGTGATTAAACTAAACAACATATAAGGATGGTGTACAGAGTCAAATTCATTGAATCTCAGATTTGTTTTAAGTTTACATTACCTTTAATCATTTAATTAATTCATCAAAAGTGGTATTCTTGTAATCCACAGTGATGAAATAACTAGGTTATTTCAAAGTCGGTTAGAGGGTAGGTAGGATTAGAGATTGATCAACTCTAAAATATAAGTAGTATTTAGTATAGACACTAGAATAAAAGAGTTCACTTATCCTTTTGTAGAAAATAGAGGCATAGCCGGGGTTGGTGGTGCATGCCTTTAGTCCCAGCACTCAGGAGGCAGAGGAAGATAGATCTTTGTGAGTTCAAGGCCAGCCCGATCTACACAGTAAGTTCCAGGACAGTCAGGACTACATAGGGAGACCCCAACTCAAAAGATGAAAATAAAAAGAGAGTGAGAGAGAAAGAGGCATAAACAGAAAGCTAAGACTGCTCTTTCTCCTCGTCTGCAGTTTTCTCCTCCTCCCTTTAGTTTCATTGTTTGAGGTACTAAAGCCTCTCACACGTGAGTTTTTTTCATTTAAAAAAAAAAAAAAAACTCAAACAAGAGCTTTGCCATCTCTACACGTGATGCTGTCTCAAAGGCTTTTCTGCCCTGTCATTTAGGGTAGGAACATTGCTTGGAAAGCTAGATGACATTCTTTTCACCTTTACCTGGGTCATTCCCGTTCTTCAAGAATCCATGAGGCACCTTATGTGGTTGCTTTTAAAAGGTGATTACATAGAATTGATGAGTCAAGAAAGCAAACTTTCTATTTGTTTATATTTAATAAAACTGTATTGGGGAATATATTAAAAGCTACCTCTTTATTCCATTATAATAAAAGCAACCATGCTATACTTTAAAACACTTTTTAAAGCAAGGGATCTATAATACAAGTTTGGAGTAAAGAATTTTTGCTGAAGGCATAAGAATTGAGTGTATTCTTCAACTCTCAGATGCATATGCTTTTTTTTATTAACATTATTCCAAGCAACACATTAACATGACTAGATTTACATATAAAAATATAGAAATGCTTATGTTCCCATAAATAATTTATCTACAAAAAAAGAATATATAGAGTCAAAGTGAACTACCCTCAAAATGAGGTGGACGAACAGGGTAACCAGAATTTAAAGACAGTTCTCAGTATTTTCCTTTAAGTTACAAAGAATATTCTAGGAAAAAATTAATATTTAAGTTCATTGTTGGCTACTTTCCAGAGTAAAACCGAAAGGCAAGATAATGGCAAACAAGCCAGGAGTGGACAAGACCTATATGAGATCCCTGGTGATCTAAAATCTCAGAAGTCCACCTTGAACATGACTGTAGTGTCTCCTGACAGGTGAGTGAAGGGACAGATGGGCTGTGTATACCTCCCTACAGATGATTAGTCTGATGCAGCCTGCCACCACTCAATAACAGCCACAAGAAACAGAACCCACACACACATGCACACGCCCATGAACACCCACATGCAGAGAGAGAGAGAGAGAGAGAGAGAGAGAGAGAGAGAGAGAGAGAGAGAGAGAGATTTCTTTTAAGGTGTCTTTAAAGATGACACTCATAGTCTGAACGCTCTGTTGTGCCATCCTTTGCTGGCATGCTGCCGTCCAGGAAATAGAATGCCAGCAGCAGCACTTACTCATCTAATAAATATTCACTGGTGGT